AGCCATGCCCTAAACTTAACCGTGCCAATAGATTGACAAATCTTCGAATGTCGAACAAAGGACTCCAAAGGAGTCAAGCCTCGAATAAGGGGAGGTGTTGGATGTGAGGCCTTTTGGAAGTTCTCGAACAAAATTTAATAATCAAATTAATATTTTTGCACATTCTTATTTGACTATTATTAAAATAAAATTAATAAATTTTATTACATTTTTTTATAATTTTAAATAATTATTTTTATATATTTTTGAATCTGACACTGTCCATTTTTCCCCTTATGCCTGCCCTAAAAAAACCTTTGGAAGAGCATTGTTTTGGGAGCTGAAGATTCTGACCATTCAATGAAAAAATACACAGTGATTTCATTACAAAACATAAGTTTTTTCTGACCCAAAAGCTCAAACAAATAACCCTCATCATATATTCATACAAATTTCCAAGAATATTCATATGGGAACTCTAATCCTTCAAACCCTTCGACTCGAACCCATTGCTAGATGAGGAAAAGCCATTGAAATAGAACTCGGGAGAGATTGGAAGCTCACCGGTTGTTCGTTTGGTTTTAGGGTTTTGTAAATTCCCGATCGCTTCCTTCGATTTCGTATTCTATTGTTGTTTTGTCTTTGCAATGAAGTTTGTTTTAAGACCGTTAATGTGACGTGGTCTTATTAGTGTTGAGTTGATATGATCAAAAATTGATTGTATAAGCTAAGAAATTGATCAGACATGTTGAAACTCGTTTCACATAAGGGTGTGGAAACCTCTCCCTAGTAGATGCATTTTAAAATCATGAGGCTGATGACGATACGTAATGAGCTAAAGTGGACAATATTTGTTAGCGGTGGGTTTGAGCTAGTGGATAAAAAGATTGTCTATGGTATTTTCCATATTTTCCCATCATTTTTAATGGTTTGATTGAGGTTTGAAAGCACAAAATGAATGCAAACTAGGAAGTGGAGAAGAGAAGGAGATATGAGGAATCATATGTGTTTCCAAACACTTCAAGACAAAATGAGATTCAGAAAAACAAAAGCAATCTTTGCTTTTATGACCCTAGAAAAGGAGATCTCAAACCTAAAACAACCTTTGCTTGGAAACTCGTGTGGTTCCTAACCCAACCCTAGACCCGAACGCTCGACACATTTTTTCCCTAGGTATAGCTCGAACCGTGTATAGTTGACGTTGTTACAAAGTTAGACGAGATTATTAGGTAAGTGTAACAACCCAAGCCCACCACTAATAGATATTGTTCCCTTTGGCCAGTTACGTATTGTCATCAACCTAATAGTTCTAAAACGTGTATGTTAGGGAGAGATTTTCACATACTTATAATGAATGTTTTGTTTCTCTCTCCAACCGACGTGGGATCTCAAAGTAAAGTTAACGTTTTTATATAGTTAGATCTCTAGAACTGAAATTAGAAGCTATATTTTGATTTCGGGTATAGTGATTATCAGGGGACACAACCATGTTTAACAATTTATCCACTTTCTCGAGTCTTGACATTATATCGACTAATCTCGACATGGTACCCTATGTCGGTGACTATATTTAGATGCAAGAGATGGGGTGAAATTAGAACCCCACAAAACTCTCCCATACTAAAAACTATACACAAAAACCCCACCATACATTAGGGTTCCTTAATTCCCTAAGTTTAAGACACTTGTTTGTATGCCAATTCTATAGGGTTTTTTGTGGGCCTTTTTTCATCTCTTCCATTTCTTTGATCATGACCAAGCAACCTCTCTCTCTCTCTCTCTCTCTACCCTTTTGCATATATACCTCCCTCTCTTCCTATCTTCACCCCTTCTTATCTCTCCCATCTCTCTCTCTCTCCCTCTCTAGGGTCATACCCTACCCTAGCTTTCTCCCTATCCAAAACCCTTCTTCGAAAGCTCGATTTCTATCCTAGAATCTTACACCATAATTGGTGGACGGGTGAATAGACTGAAACATGATGTCTAACAGTTGAACTATGTTCAAATTGGTTCATCTTAAAAAAAAGTTTTTCGAGAGTTGTCCTTATAATGCAAGGAATGTTGTGTGTATGTATGTGCCTGGCTCCCTGTATGCCATTTGTAGAGCTCATCGATGCTCCGATGGGTCTCCGCAGATGGCGTATGAGGAGCCATGCATATATCTAATCTCACCGTCCTCATTGACCCATTAGGGTTTCATTTCAAACTCACAAAACCTAGAAAAACTTAGGGTTTTTGGTCAAATTTTGCAGGTGGGTGTGGATGGTGAAGAGGGGTAAAAGTAAAAGTATTGTTTTACAGTGACTGTTTGTTAATTACCCAATTTTTGCAGCAAAACAGAGAAGAACAAGCACAAAAAAGCAAATTTACCATGGATCTATTGGCTCAAACTGACGGTAACTTTGAAACCCTTTTTTTTTGTTTAAAATTTTCAATTTTAATTTTATATATATATATATATATAGAGAGAGAGAGAGAGAGAGAGAAAGATGTTTTAATTTTTTTTTTATTGCAATGAACTGACAAGCCATAGAAGTTAGAAATTCTGTGTTTTTTTGTTCATCGGCGGCCGTTCATCTCATTGCACGCTTTGGCTCCTCTTTTCTTCTCCATATCTTTGTCTCTCCCATTTTTAATCCTTATTTTATACTTTACGTCGGCGGTTTAAACCGAGCAAATATTTGAGTATCTTAACGTTAAATTCTGTGAGATCCCACGTCGGTTGAAGACAGGAACAAAGCTTGTAAAAGTATAAAAACTTCGCACTAGTAGAAGCGTTTTAAAACAATGAAGCTGATGACGATACGTAACGGACTAAAACGGATAATGTCTACTAGTGGTGGTCTTGAACTATTACAAGCTCCCTTCTGTCTTTGCACTCGAGGGCCAATCTCCATCTAGCTCTAGGTGACCCGAGGAAACCTTACATGCCTCCGTTATCTTTTGGAATACAACAAAAAAATTGTACTCTCGTGGTTTTCTTGTTTAGACAAGATAATTTTAGTTTAATGTAATAAATTAACTTCTATGGTTATTTTATGATCGAATATACATTCTACTCTTTGATCTCTCGATGAATGTTATTATCTGCCTTATCACTCGTGACCCCAATTTATTTAGAGTGGCTCTAATAAGTATAATGTAATGTCATTATTTCATTCATTTAAAATGATTCTAAGGATTATATATTTATCTTATTATCGGAAATAGATAGTACTCTTAAGCTCCGTATGACGATTGAAAGTTGGACTATTCCCTTGTTTAAAAGCAAGCAAGCCCTAAAGTGAGGAAAAAGGATCGTTTGGCTCGTTCTCCAGTCTCAGTTAACGGCTTGAGAAAGGCAAGAGTAAGTACTACTTTACTAAGGCAATAGGTAGACAATCTTCGTACATCCATACGAACACGAGAGCTCTATGTTTTGGTTGATGCCGACGAGACACAGATGTTGTTCCTAGTCTGGAAACTCCCAATTGGGGTCTATGCTTCTTCAAATCACAATTTTGAGTATTGTGGACGTTGAAGTATTGTTCGTTTTGATTCATTACATATCGTCGTCAACTTCAAAGTTTTGAAATGCATTTGACTGACGTTGATATGTAATAGGCAAAAGCAGACAATATTTGTGGTGGGTTTGGGCTGTTACAAATGGTATCAAAGTCAGACAACGGACAGTGTGCTAGTGAAGATGCTGGACCCCCGAGGAGGTGGACTATGAGATCCCACGTTAGTTGGAAAGAGGAACGAAACATTCCTTATAAGGATGTGTGGAAATCTCTCCTTAATGTACGTGTTTTAAAACCGTGAGGTTGACGACGATACATAACAGACCAAATCGGACAATATCTGCTAACGGTAGCTTGAACCGTTACAACTAGATCTGACATTGTCTTTGCAGTAAATCAGTTCGCATCATCCTACAAATGTTCATCTCTCAAACGTATCAAATACGATATCTCTTTAGCCTTAACATTTTGGAATTACTTTCTACTAAGATGCAACCTACAGTCTCACGACCATCCACAGATGTTGAATATCGCTCATTGATAACTACAACTACAGACCTTTTATTGGGTTCAAAAACTTGTTTGTGATATCTGTGTCACCTTAACTAGTCCTCAACATTGTATTGTGATGACGATCGTACCAAACATATTGAAATTCACTATCATTTCATTCATGAGAAAGTATTTGATTTTCCCCTTGTAATCCGAACAAATTACACAAACTTAATCCTAAACCAAACAAACCGAACACATGAAAAAAAAGAATACGCTACGCCCAAAAAAAACATCAAAAGATGAATGTATGAGAATTTGGACTAGGTGAGGTGAAGGAGGGTTGTGCAAAGTCATACGACACAGGCTGTAGAGTCCAATGGAAACAGAGAAAAGTTTTGTGTCTGGTTTCTTGTCTCATTAACAAGCTGTTTCTTTGTCATCTTATTAACTTATAATTCTTTGGTCTTATGTGATGTTTTCAATAATCTAAAACAACATAATAATAATCAATATATAGTTGCGCTTGCAAAACAAAGAGACGTAAACGAGGGTGTTGTGCTAAACCATCACCACTCCGACATAGTAATCCATCTGCTAACTCGTTGTACTTATGTAGTTTAGAAATCGTTGTCATAATGGAGTTTATAATCTTCTTGTGATTCTCAAAATAGTTACAAGGTTGAGTCGTTACTTAGTCTAACCGTTAGTCAAATAGACTTTGGATGACTTACTCTTATCTTTGTATCTTGATGAACAGAACGAAGCTTCACCCGTCCAAGCCATGGTTTCTAAAGAGGTAAAGTTCTTCTGTCAACAACTCTGCAATGATTGTCACTCATATATTACACAAATGAGCACGTAAAGCACTAGGACACGGCACCCAAGCTACCGAGATACCGAGCTTGGTACAACCGTAATAGAGACTTCGACAGATAATGTGTATGGTATTCTAGATTATCATAAAAGCTTCAGCAATGTTGAGAAAATGTGAATTCTGTTCTCAAATTTCACATGTGAATTCTGTTGCCTAAAATGGAAGCTATATTGTAAATTTCTGAGTTCTAGCAAATAGCACGGCAAGGTGCTTCCAAGTTTGTAAAATATTCTCCAGCAATTAATTACAGGGAAGAGAAATTAGCTATAAAACGGTACAGATATCCAGTTCACATGTCAATGTAATGTAATCTTTCTTCTATTTCTTTCTATGTTATAAAGTCAGACCTTTTATTATCTCGAGCTTTAGCGGTGTCGATGTTTGTTCTCTACTCGGCTTTTCAAAATCAGCCTTCCGTGACTGCACCCAAAAAATACTGTTTGTGGACCATCTTTCTGTAATCTAGACAATGAGAAAACAAACAATCAGCTTAGCTTTATGTCTTCATTACTTCATGTTCATCATGAGAAGAGCAAGAGATGTCAGCCCTTGAAACAAATTCAGCTCAGAGGAAGTGGAAGCTTATATTTTAGGGTCAAAGCTTATATATTTTAGAAGTGTCAGATAAAATAAGTAACTTTTCGGTCTACGGGGCCAGAGGGCGAGCAACAGACAGAGAGAGAGAGAGAGGGAGTCGAGTCCAACCTTCCTTGTTATTCCAAAGAGCAGCAGCATAGCTGTTGAGAGGACTCTCTGGGTTGGACTCTGCATTGTAAACACAACTTCACATGGGATGAGAGAATTATCATCAAGATCATAATATTCCCAAATATGCAGGGAGAAATGAGCAAACCTCCTAATAGGCTTTGAATAGACAAAAGAATGGTTCTGCAATCATATGCTGAAGACCACTTATCCTATCGAAAAGGACGTTACGTAAGTATCAGGAGATTCGAAAAATCAACTAAAGGAACGTTGAGGTACTTGATTTGCCATAAAGATCATGGGTGTTTTTCCTATCCTGTACAATAACCATCCAACATAAAAGCAAAAACACCCCTGTATATTGAACCGATACCTGAAGAATGTCGAGACAAATGTTGCCATATTGGTCGACATTTGGATGGAAGCACATCGTCTCGAACTTAACAAGGGGTGGCTTGAAAGGGTACTCCATGGGAAAATGTAAAGAGAGTTTGTAAGACAAACCCTCATATGCAGTTCCTTTCCCACCCTCAATCGTGCCTATCCATGTGAAAATGCTCTCACCTTCAGGAAAAGCTGAGACACCAAGATCATCTCCACTCATCTATAATAGAGAGCACCACCAAACAAATATGGTTAATGAACCATTTATATAAAGTAGACAAAACAATAAAGTTCCTAATTCCCTCCAACCATTTCACTGTTTTGAAATAAGTAAACACATATATTCAGCATGATGCAGATAAAGAAGTGCAAAGTTGAAGTCCAAGGAGTCACTATTTGCCTAACGATCGAGCAACAAATGAAATTCTAAGTTTTTCTTCTTCTTCTTTTTTGGTAAGAAATCGATCTATCATTGAGAAAATGAAAAATAATGTACAAAAACGACCATAAAAAGAGTCTTGAAGGAATGGACTCCAATCTAAAAGAACGAGACTATGGTGGTAATTACAAGAAGTCCAATGAACAAACTGTCAGGAATCACAACCCTCCACAATGGTATGATATTGTCCACGTTGAGCCTAGGCTCTCATGACTTTACTTTTGGTTTCCTCAAAAGGTCTCATACCAATAGAGATGTATTCCTTACTTATAAACCCATGATCAATCCCTTAATTAACGAACATGGACTCCTTTCCCAACAATCTTCAAAACATACTGCTAGTGATTACAAAAGAAATGCAAAGTTAAAGTCCATACATGATAATAAGAAGCATAGAAGCTGCAAAACAAAATGTCAAGTATGTCATGACAAACTACCCTTGTCCCAGGGAGTGGATGGGATGGGACCATCGTTCTATCCACCAACAAAAGGGAAATTACACATTTTCCAAATGAAGATCGATCACCAAACCCAAGAATTGCTTATTCTCACTGTTTCAACCAACCATCAATACCGACTCAAGAGAATCATGTAAATAAAAAGATTCAAGAATCAAAGAAACACCATGAGAAATGTAAAACTAAAAAGAAACTACAAAACATACCATCAGTGACATCAATTCCTTTTGCAGCCTGCAGCCAAATAAAGAAAAACGTCAAAATCTCATTACAAGAATCGAAATTAATAAGAATTCATTGAAAGCATGAATCTCAAGCCTTCTACAAATTTGATAATCAAAACAAGGAAAAGCAGCCAACAATCAACATACCAGATTTACTATAAACACTAAAAAGCAACATTAAATCGTACATTCCTCAATTCTCGCCATCGTTTTCTTTTACTTTCTTATCGATTCTTAAGATTCACCACAACCTCGGGAGCAAAAACAATCAACAAACAAAAAGAACGATCGACAAGAAGTTTCACCTCTGCGCAACAGCGTTGGAGTCGATAGGATTAGAAGAAGCGGACGGCTGCTTCAATGAAGAACTGGTGAGATGCTGCTGCGAGATCGAGGAATTGTCGCCCGTCGGATTGGGTCTCACCTCCATATCCACAACGATCAATAACACAAAGAATCCTCTCAAATTAGATCCAACTACGAATCAAGCAGACGATTAAATGCATAACACCACCGTCTTAGACTCGAAATGCTACGATTCTACGATGAAATCGAGTGAAAATCACCAAGATTTCAGTTTTTTTCTCTGTTTCTGGAGAAAAAAATTCAGTTAGTGGAGACGGTGGATGAAGACAATGGCTTTCACTATTTCGTTTAATAATAAAAAAATCCAAAATTTTCAACTTTCAAATCATATAATTATTTTTTCATTACCAAACAAATCCATCATATCTTATTATTTAATTTCATCGAATTTTGTCTTAATAAAATGAAACTTAATTATTTATATTATCGGAGTGTCACCCACTTAAATATATAATTTTTTTTATTAAATTAATAAAAATATTTCTAAAAATTTCAAAATTTTCAATAATTCTTCTAAAGGGTCAATATTTCATTTTTGAATTAAAAATATGATTGAAAATTTTTAAAAATTAATATATCTATTTACACCTCATAAATCATATTATTAATATTATTTTTGAAAGTTTGAGAAATATTTTTATTAATTTAACTATAAATGTATTTTTTAAATAAAGTATTAACTATAAATGTATTTTTTACTTTTTTTTTCTTTTCTTTCTAAAGCTTAAGGGTATAATTGAAATTTTTGAAAGTTCAAGAGGGTTTTTTGAGACCGTGCTTGCTCGTATTTTTATTACTTTAGCTATTTTTTTAATAGAGTATAGGTTCAAATTTTAATTCTCATTTTATAATATGTCGTAATATGAAGAAAACAATTGTTAATAAGATCAATAATTTTATTAATGAAGATTTCTATTTTATAAAATGATTACGACGTTTAAAGAGAATTTCACTCCATAAGAATCTAAGTAAATGGATTTAAGTCGGTCACCTGTCTAGCATTTAATATTTTAGAGAGGTCGAATAACATTAAAAAATAAAAAAATAAATAAAAAAAATAAACAAAGGTGAAAGTTGTTAGAATTAGAAAAAAAAAAAGGCAAAGAAGTGGACTAATTGAGGAAAAAATATCGCTCAAAATGAAGAATAATGAGTCGTGGGGTAATTGGTCTAATAATCAGAGGCATCGAGGTAAAGATCATGGTTAGAGCTAGAGGTGTTCGTATGACTTGAAAACCTGACTAACTTGAACTATCCAACTCAAGCTATAAGAGTTGGATCGGTTCGCAGGTCGATATTTTTTTTGTCAGGTATACCTGACCAACCTAAAATAGAGTTACAACTCAACCCTACCTTATTTTTAAGATTATTATGAAACTTAAGAATATTTGAGAGATGTTGGTTAGTGATGCATTATGACTTGTAAATGTTTGATATTTGAACTTTACTAGATTATAGTCATAATGTAACATGTATGGTAGATAAGTATGATTTTTAAATAACAACCTTAAAGATGTTTCCAACCTGTAACAGTCCAAGTCCACTACTAGTCGACATTGTCTCTTCTGACTTTCCTTTCAGGTTTCCCTCAACGTTTTTAAAAACGTGTCCACACCGTTACAAGAAATGCTTCATTCCTCTCTTCAACCGATGTGGGATCTCACACAACCCAACCCAATCCATATATACTCCTAATTAGGGTTATGGATTTGGAAAAATCAACATAATGTTAGCCATAGATGGAGCTTTTAAGCCCGTTCCACCGGACTCAACTCGAGGGCCAAACGATCCCTATGAGGTTAGCCATGGAGTAAATAATCTAACAAAATTGACTTTTAGTTCAAAGATACATTTCTTTGGGGATAAGATATTAAAAGGGACATCTCAGTCTTATCAACAAAAGAATGATAAAAATGGAATCTATAATATAAACCACTCACTCATATATTAAACATCAAAATCAAACATTTAAAGTAGTTGGTGCTCACTTTTCCAATGGAGATAAGCTTTGTCTTTGCATTCAACACTTTCAAAAAATCCATACAATATTTTATATCTGCAAGAAGTGACAGATCACAGATGGAAGATCTCAACAACATTTCATATAGAACATTGTGGAAAAAGAATGGCTTTATTGTCAATTAATATAGAAAAATTGGGAAAAACAGCTATAGGAAACTAGTTGCTATGCCATACCTATAGAACTGTGATCTCAAGTGTATAAAAGAACTGTCCTGTACTTAAAGAACGTGCAAGAATATGTGTTGTGGGTGATCTTATTTCCCATGGCTAAATCATTTGGCAAATGAGAAGTCTGAGGGAGTCCTAGTGATTTCATTTTTGTTACGAGCAGGACGTGGTGTGGTACCTGGTACGGTTGAACTTGGCTGTTGAGCTGTCATCTCCTGTTCTCCACTGGAAACAGAATGTTCGTGTTCTTGATGATCATGGGCTCTACTATGATGTGAAGAAGGTCGAATGGAATGTTCGTGTTCTTGATGATCATGGGCTCTACTATGATGTGAAGAAGGTCGAATGGAATGTTCGTGTTCTTGATGATCATGAGCTCTACTATGATGTGAAAGAGGCCGCTCTTCAATGCCCCAACGGTCGTGTTCAGCATCAGATAGCCTGGGAGATGTGCTGCTCTGCTGATGTTTGTGCAGAAGGTGGAGGGGAGACATACCGTGCGTTGGAGTAGCTGGCCTGCTTGAGAATGGCGAGGTACCATCCGGGTTGCGGTGTTGCTTCATGTGTTTTTTGGCAGAGTGGTGCCAGTTCTTCAATGCCGTTGCTACTCGTTCGTTGAAAATGGTTGGTTTCATGTTAGAGCCCATCTGGAATCAAGTGCATACAAGGTGATGAATGGCTAGTTTCTTATGGAACTATTATGAGATTCATATTTAATCAAGCTCAAGAAAACAGTTCATAGTATAATGATCTTGAAAAGGTAAACACCTGAGTAACCAGAGCATAGAGTGGGAGCGTCACATAACTGCATAGAACTTGTATGATGACCCTGAAAGTTGTCGAATTCGGTTTCGGTTAGCGGTTTAAAGACGGAATAAAACTCTGGGATGTTTACAGATTTGTTAGTGAACTTACCCCATTGAGAGTCTAATGGCAATGTCTTCAATCTTCTGATGGAAGCAAGATCTCAAGCTAAATGCATACTGAAAGAGAATTAAACCAAGTATTAGAGGAGGTTGGTTCTCAGTGTAGATAATTTCAGAAGCTACAGAAAGAGGAGAAAAACAAATACTATCAGATGAAAAACGAAAGTAGGACGGTCTCGGTCGAATTACTTACTGTGGTCCAAGCAAAGAAGGCAAGCTGAAATGCATTCTGCAATCACAGAGGGAATGTCATATTTCAGGGAGGAGAAAAAATATGTTCAATTTTAGAAAGATATGAAGTTGGCTTTGATAAGTACCTGAAAGAGAACAAAGTGAATCAGAAACAGAATAAGTTGTGGGCGTCCGAACCAAAAGAGATCATCCCGGGGCTGAACGACGGGAACACCCTTTATAACATGGCCCCTTTCTTGAATTGTCAATCCCATCTTTGTTATGATAACATGGAGCTTCGTTCCCACCAATAGAATTATCTGCATTACATAAAGAGGAAAACGAACGTTGAATGAACCGTGAAACAAGTCGTTTGTTAAAAATAAATGGTGAAGTATGGAAAAAAGCTTACAATTAAGGAGATGAAAGGCAGCCATAGATATGAATACCACCCTGACAAGGAATAAAAACGAAGCACTCCTCAATAAGTACTCAGAGATTGGGAGGAACTAAAAAAATGAAATGCAGTGATTGTAAGCTTACCATGCGTATTGGTTAGGATGAACAGAACAGCAAATAGCCACATCGCTGGGCTGCAGATTAGAAGATTGGTCAAAATTTTATAACCAATATCAATAAATGAAATCAAGTTCATGTATATAATGAAGAAACAAACCTAATCCCCACAACAACTTTAAAATCATTTTCGAGAGATCTGCTAATGTATTTGTGGAAATCAAATTTTACTTCACTTCCGGGGGCCAAATGAGCCTGAAAAATGGCTCATGTTAAAAGGTATGGACTTGCAGAATCTCTATAGATTAACTATACCATATATTTTGCTTACAACGATGAATCCATGTCTCAATGTCATGTAATCAACCTTGGTAACTGATCCAAAGAATTGTCTGAAGAAACAAACCTACACGACAGAAATGGGGTGATGAACATCATGTATAATGTCATTTTGTTGTATTTAAACCATAAAGTACTTATAAAAACAGTGGGAGGTTCAAACCATATGATCGTACACAGATGCAAAGGCAGGAGACTATAGTTCAATGAGAACATTATGAAAGTTATAATTATGGACTCATCTGTATCTCTTTGATCTTTTTCTTGATGTAAGACTCACAAGAGCCATCACCCTTTAACATAATTTGCTAAGAGTTTCTAGGAAGAGTGAATAGTTTGCCAAATTCATATTCATGAGCAAATTTCTTGACTAAATTTTGTGACAAACACTTACAATCCAGAGGAAAACTGGTGTACGACTCCAAAAGCTCAAGTGTCGGCGTCCAAACGTTGTATCTCTAGCAAATCTAAACCTTGCTGGATCTGCAAGACAGAAGATATCATTTCATAAGTATGTATTGCCAAGGATTTCTAATGAATAATTCTGCAATAAAACATGAGAAAATGATATCATAGCTCCAAAAGAAATGAAGCAAAATCTTAACTATCAAAAAAGGACTTCGTCCCAAGCTGTTGAAAAATCATCTGCCAGAATATGGTTGCATTAACCTAGCATGTTGTCAGTTAGTCATCCTAAGAAGATCACTTTATAGCTGGTGTTGTGATTGATATTTGAAACCTTGTGATTAAAGCACTTAAAATCTAGCGATTTCTATGGATTTTGAAGGAAACTATACCATTATAGTACTGGTATTCAAGTGTTTTTGTCTCGTCCTCCCAAGCCTTCCATTTTCTCATCTACAATTAAAAGGAAATCATGAAACCGATCAAGGGAAAAAGAGAGAGACGTGGAAAAGGTTAAAGACTACCTTTGTTCTGCCCAAAGCCAAAGTGGCGATGCAGTATAAGACATGGAAGACAGCCAGTACAAAGATGAAAATATGGAGCTGGTGGATTCCATATGCAGACACAAAGGCGACTTGGCCCTGAAAAATTGTTCACCCCAGAAAGCTTCAAATCACTTGGGAATATAAGCTCACTCAATTTCTACTCAATGCCAATTACGTTTTTGCTAGTCTATTATTATACAGAAAAAATGAAATATTGCAAC